ACAGGGTTCCATCGGACTATTTCGGCGCACCCCTCACGCGGCTCGTGGCCCTACAGGGGGCGCAGCCGAAGGCTTCGGGACCCTTTCGGCGCACCACTCACACGGTTCGTGGGCCCCCAGGGGGCGCAACCGAAGGTTTCGGACGCCCTGGCGGTTTTCGGGGGCTGTTTTCGAAGGGTATTGGAGGTCATCTTGGGTCCTTCCAGAGGCCTTGTTGGACCCGTTTGGGGCTCTTTTGGGGCCGTCTTGGGCCAGGTTGGGGCTCTGTTGGGACCGTCCTGGGCCGTCCATGGGGCCTGATGGGCCGTGCGGAGGACACCCTTGGAATCCGCTGTCCTTGTTGGGAGTTTCCGACACGTGTCGTCGACATTCGTTTTGGTCTTCAGCAGAAGGAGGAGGAGGAGGAGGAGGAGGAGGAGGAGGGGGAGGAGGGGGAGGAGGAGGAGGAGGAGGATGTACGTGGAAGGGGAGGAACGTGGGATGAGTAGGACAGACCAGGGGGGAGGGGGAGGACGAGGAATGATACCGAATGTGGAAGACTGGGGTGGAGCCGTCGATCATCGCCGCTGACGTGGTCTGTCGCGCGTGCGCCGCCCCCTGGGGCCACGGGGGGTGGGGGTGAGGAGGAGCAGGACGAGGAAGAGGATAACGAAAACAAGGCTGATGATGACGATTATGTTGATGATGAGGAGGGTGAGGATAAGGAAGAAGAGGAGTTGCATGATTATGAGGATTTGGGCGGACGAGGAGCCGATGAGGATGATGAGGACCATGATGATCCCTACAGGGATCCTGTAGGGTCCCTGTAGGGATCCATAGTGATCCTCTAGGGCCCCTGTAGGGATCTAGAGGGATCCCATAGGGCCCCTCTATTTACAACAAGCTATCCCATAGGATCCCTGTAGAGGTCTAGAGGCATCCTATTGGGTCCCTATTGGGTCGCTGTAGATCCCTATAGGGGTCTACAGCGATCCCATAATGTCCCTGAAGGGGCCCACAGGGATCACATAGGGCCCCTGTAGGGATTTAGAGGGACCCCATGGAGACCTTGTAGGGAGCCCCAGGGATCCCATAGGGTCCTTATAGGGATCTACAGCGATCACACAAGATCCCTGTAGGGATCCAGAGATCCCATAGGGTCCCTGTATGGGCCCACAGGGATCCCACATGGTCTCTGTAGGGACCCACACGGATCCCATAGGGTCCCTGTAGGGGTCGACAGGGATCCTATACGGTCCGCGTACGGACCCACAGGGATCCCATAGGGCCCTTGTGGGGATCCACAGGGATCCTATCCACAGGGATGCTCTAGGATCCCTATAGGAATCCATAGGGATCCTCTAGGCCCGTTGTAGGGACCCATAGGCATCCTATAGGGCCCCTGTAGGGATCGATAGGGATCCTCTCGTATCCCTGCAGGGATCCATGGGGATCCTCTAGGATGCAGGGGTCCATAAGGATCCTCTCGTACCCTTGTAAGGATCCATAGGGATCCTCTGGGATCCCTGTAGGGGTCCATAGGGATCCTCTAGGATCCCTGTAGGGGTCCACCAGGATCCTCTAGGATGCTTGTAGGGATCCATTGGGATCCTCCGTAGGATCCCTGTAGGGGTCCACAGGGATCCTCCATGATCCCTGTAGGGATCCACAGGGATCCTCTAGGATCCCTGTAGGGGGATCCCTGTGGGGATCCATTGGGATCCTCCAGGTTCCCTGTAGGGGTCCACAGGGATCCTCCAGGATCCCAATAGGGATCCATTGGGATCCTCCAGGATCCCTGTCGGGATCCATTGGGATCCTCCAGGATTCTTGAAGGGATCCATACACAGATCCTCTAGGATTCTTGTAGGGATCCATACAGATCCTCTAGGATGCTTGTAGGGATCCACAAGGATCCTCTAGGATGCTTGTAGGGATCCACAGGGATCCTCTAGGATGCTTGTAGGGAGCCACAGGGATCCTCTAGGATGCTTGTAGGGATCCACAGGGATCCTCTAGGATGCTTGTAGGGATCCACAGGGATCCTCTAGGATGCTTGTAGGGATCCACAGGGATCCTCTAGGATGCTTGTAGGGATCCACAGGGATCCTCTAGGATGCTTGTAGGGATCCACAGGGATCCTCTAGGATGCTTGTAGGGATCCACAGGGATCCTCTAGGATGCTTGTAGGGATCCACAGGGATCCTCTAGGATGCTTGTAGGGATCCACAGGGATCCTCTCAGATCCCTGTAGGGTCCTTGTAGGGATCCAGAGGGATTCTATAGGGTCCCTGTAGGGAGGGATTCTATAGGGTCCCTGTAGGGATCCACAGGGATTCTAGAGGGTCCCTGTAGGGATCCACAGGGAGTCTAGAGGGTCCCTGTAGGGATCCACAGGGAGTCAAAAGAGTCCCTGGAGGGAGTCAAAAGAGTCCCTGGAGGGATCCACAGGGATTCTATAGAGTCACTGGAGGGATCCACAGGGAGTCTATAGAGTCCCTGGAGGGATCCACAGGGTCTATAGAGTCCCTAGGGATCCACAGGGAGTCTATAGAGTCCCTGGAGGGATCCACAGGGATTCTATAGAGTCCCTGGAGGGATCCACAGGGATTCTATAGAGTCCCTGGAGGGATCCACAGGGATTCTATAGAGTCCCTGGAGGGATCCACAGGGATTCTATAGAGTCCCTGGAGGGATCCACAGGGAGTCTATAGAGTCCCTGGAGGGATCCACAGGGATTCTATAGAGTCCCTGGAGGGATCCACAGGGATTCTATAGAGTCCCTGGAGGGAGTCTATAGAGTCCCTGGAGGGATCCACAGGGATTCTATAGAGTCCCTGGAGGGATCCACAGGGATTCTATAGAGTCCCTGGAGGGAGTCTATAGAGTCCCTGGAGGGATCCACAGGGATTCTATAGAGTCCCTGGAGGGAGTCTATAGAGTCCCTGGAGGGATCCACAGGGATTCTATAGAGTCCCTGGAGGGATCCACAGGGATTCTATAGAGTCCCTGGAGGGATCCACAGGGATTCTATAGAGTCCCTGGAGGGATCCACAGGGATTCTATAGAGTCCCTGGAGGGATCCACAGGGATTCTATAGAGTCCCTGGAGGGGAGGGAGTCTATAGAGTCCCTGGAGGGATCCACAGGGATTCTATAGAGTCCCTGGAGGGATCCACAGGGATTCTATAGAGTCCCTGGAGGGATCCACAGGGATTCTATAGAGTCCCTGGAGGGATCCACAGGGATTCTATAGAGTCCCTGGAGGGATCCACAGGGATTCTATAGAGTCCCTGGAGGGATCCACAGGGATTCTATAGAGTCCCTGGAGGGATCCACAGGGATTCTATAGAGTCCCTGGAGGGATCCAAAGACTCCTAGAGGGTCCCGAACGGAGTCCGATGGGAATCCGTAGGGAGCGTGTAGGATTCATACAGAATTCCTACAGAATTACAGAATTCATACAGAATTCGTTGTGTTGTGTTGTGTGTTCCCCCCCCCCCCCCCCTCCGACTCACCGGGGGGGCGGGACCGGCCTCCGCCACTGTGGCGGACGCGGGAAGTGAAGCCCCGGACCCCGGGGGGACCATGCCGGCCTGTACCTTGTTGTTGTTGGTGTTGTTGTTGATGATGATGATGCTGAGGATGCTGCTGATGCTGATGATGATGCTGATGCTAACGATGAAGCTGATGCTGATGTTGATGATGATGCGGACGGTGAGGATGGTGGTGATTCTTATTATTATGATGATGATGCTGACGATAATGATGATGATGCTGATGATGATGGTGATGATGATGATGATGATGCTGATGATGATTATGATGATGCTAATCATGAGGAGGAGGATGATGAGGAGGAGGAAAAGTAGGGTATGATGATGATGATGATGATGATGATGATGATGATGATGATGATGATGGTGATGGTGATGGTGATGGTGATGATGATGATGATGAGGAGGAGGAGGAGGAGGAGGAGGAGGAGGAGGAGAAGAGTAGGCGGAGGAGGAGGAGGAGAACCATCAGGAGGAGGAAGAGGAGTACGGAGGAGGAGAGGAGGAGGAGGAGGAGGAGGAGGAGAGGAGAGGAGGAGGACGAATGATACGATACGACTAAGCATATGAGGAGGGGGAGGGAGGAGGAGGAGGAGGAGGAGGAGGAGGAGGAGGAGGAGGAGGAGGAAGAGAGAAGGAGGAGGGGAGGAGGAGGAAGAGGATGAGGAGGAGGAGGAGGAGGACTAGGAAGAGGACTCGGAGGAGGAGGAGGACGAGGAGGAGGATGAGAAGGAGGAGGAGGAGGCGGAGGAGGGAGGAGGGAAGGAGGAGGATGAGGATGAGGAGGATAAGAGGTGGAGGAGGCGGTGGGGGAGGGAGGAGGAGGATGATGATGATGAGGAGGAGGAGGAGGCGGAGGAGGAGGAGGAAGACGAGTAGGAGGATGAGGAGGAGGAAGACGAATAGGAAGAGGAGGAGTAGGCAGAGGAGGAGGCGGAGGAGGAGGAGTGGCGGAAGGGGGGGATTGCTGGGAGGAGTAGGAGGAGGGATGAGGGGGGGGGATGCGAGAGGAGGGTGAGGGGGTTGTGTGGTGGGAAAGGGAATAGGGAACAGAGAACGAGGAGAGCGGAGGAATGTTAGGCTGTGGCGGACGCGGAGGACACGTGGGCCGAGGAACAAGAGGAGGAGGAGGAGAATGCGGAAGAGAACGAGGATGAGGAGGACGAGGAGGAGGTGGCGGAGGCGGACTAGTGTAAACCCACGGCGCATTAACGATGTTGTAATACACCCTTCTTCCAAGTTCTCTCTAAGAATCTGAACGGTAATGGTCCCCATTGAAAAACCACCACCTGATAGTCAGCAATCGTGCCGAAACACCTTTCCTGTGACTTCAACGCCGCGAACCATTGTGACTGTGGCGCCCTGACAGGCTTACATCGCGCTAATACTCTGTTCCTTAGATTTCAAGACCGCGAGTCAACGTGACTGTTGCGTCCCGACACTCTTCCATCGTGCCAGATCGCGATCTCGGAGACTTCAGCCAGACGGATCCTAGACCCGCTTGTAATTTATCGAGGCGTGGCACTAAATTGGGAACCCCCAAACCGGGTGGTGAGATACCAGGTGGCGACCTGGGATCCCCAAAAACGCCACCGCTGGGTTTGGGGACGCAGGGTCACTACCGGGTTTTGTGACTCCTGGACCCCCCAGTGTCCGGGACATCCTCGGAAAACCGCACGAGTCCCCAAACCGGGTGGTGACACCAAATCACCCGAGACTCACCGCCAGGTGTTGTCACCACCACGTTTGGGGACTACCAACTAAAGCGCGTGCCACCTCTAGAAAACATAACCATCCTCTATCGTTGACGCGATTACAAATTTTTGCGACGAGTGTGCGCGGCTAGACGACGAGTGCGACATGCTGACAACGACCCGCCCTCCATGCTTAAACTTGTTGTGCACAGGCAAGACGAGTGTGCGCGGCGCGAAGGCGAGAACCACACGGTGAAGCAGACTCGCCCTTCGTCCTTGAATTGCTGTCTCGGAGGTGGATGGACCTCCTACCCTGACACGCCGATTGAGGAACTGGCCGTTTTCTGTTCGAGAGAGGGCGTCGCGGTTGTCATGTTTGCGGGTCCAGGTCCATCGGTTTTGGTTCCAGGCCGTTTTCACCAAGGAGTGGTTTACTAAAAGGAGGTTCGTCCACCGCCGACTGTTGCATTTTTCATGCTCCAGGATCATAGATGGTGGGGGAGTCTGATGCGAAATGCCTGACCCGCCTTACCAACACTCTGGGGTTGCGACAGGGAGGAGCTGTTTGTCGGAAGGGGAAGGGGGGGAAGGAGGGAGGGCAGGAAGGTTGAGGAGGGATTGGATGATGGAGCAGTGATAGGGCGGAGAGAAGAGAGGAGAGTGTGAGGAAAAGGAGGAAGAGGGAGGATGAGGAGGCATTTAATGGATGAGAGGGAGAACGGAGGAGGGAGGAGGAATCTGATGGAGGAGGAGGAGGAGGAGGAGGAGGAGAAGGAGGGGAGGAGGAGGAGGAGGAGGAGGAGGAGGAGAAGGAGAAGGAGGAGGAGGAAGAGGAGGAGGAGGAGGAGGAGGAGGAGGAGGAGGAGGAGGAGAGGGGAGGAGGAGCACCGAACGCACGGCGGAGGTGTGTCGGCAATCAACGGGGGAAGCTGTACAATGGAAGGGCTCACATGTATGGTGATAGTAGATGAGCAGTATTACCCGCAGTCAAGCAACACATCAGATCGGCATCAGCATACGTAAACTTTCGGAGGTCCCCGCGGATTTCTTGAATTGGCGCCGGACCCCCCTGACGGCGCCTCGCGCTAGGGTGGAAACTCCAGCGTCGATCCAAGACATCCGATCGCTGCGGAAGTTATGTATGTGGAATCGTTCGCTTTTCTGTTCTGTGAAGACAACATGGGTCGGGGGTGCAATCCTGCTTCGCCCAAGACGTAGCGCTGTGTTTCGTGATGTGGCGTTTCCCTGCTGCTGGGAGGGTTTGCCAGAAGCCTTATCAATTCCGTCTCTCCCCCTGTTTCACCCCAGACCTAGTTAATTTTCTTTCTCTTCTTCCTTTCTCCTTCTTCTTCTACGCAGGGCGCGCAGTGTCGGTACCTATGTCCTCCCACGGAATCCACGCCGACCACCGCAGTTGTCCGTTTAAAAACAGCCCTGGGCGTTCACTGAGCAGTCCTGCCCCGCTCGATCCCTCCCCTACGGTGCCTTTGCTAAAAGGCTTGGCCTGAGGGGCTTCGTTTATGACGGTGATTCTTCTGCCCTTCGAGGTTGCATGACCTGGCGCAGCCGATCCGACTCGACTCTGACTCCGTGCCGATGCAGCCCGAATCGATGCAGATGTCTATTCGCTTCGCTTTGCCGGTTCGATGCTGCCCGATCCCGCATCCGCCGCCGCGGAGCCTCGCCCCCGGGAGCCTCGAAGAGCGGCGGAGGTGGACCTCCGCCCGTGCCCGCGCGTCGCAGGCGCGCCGCCGGCGCCCGAGCCCCGCCCCCTTCAGTTGGACGAGACAAGATAGGATAAGTCGGGGGTGGACAAAACCCCCACTCTGACACGTCGATTAGTGAATTGTCCGTTTTCGGTTTTCGAGAGGGCGCCGTGGCCGTTATTTTCCAGGCTTGCGCCCGCCAGGTTTGGGCCCGAAGTCGTTTTCACTAAACCACGTTTTACTAAAGGGAGGTCTGTCCATCCCCGAATGAGACAAGATAGGATAAGACGCCGCCTGACGAACAGTTCAGGTCGAATGACCGCAGGCCCTGCGAACGCGCAACAGTAAAGGCCCGGACCTTCGTCAGAGTCGCTGGTCACCGCGGTGTGGAATCCTCCGCGGGGCTCCTGGTTCCAGCCTTCGCTGGTCGGGATACTCCTCCTCCCCAGCCCCCTCTCCATAGAAACCGTCCACCTCCCGCGAGAGGCGGTCCTCGTCTGGCGGGTGCCCGAGCTGGTGAAGGCGCGCGAGGCAAGCAAAACTGCACGAGCGTGGCCTCTAGGAGTCCCGCGCGGGCTTTTCTTGGATGAGTGCTCGCCCCCCCCCCCTCCCCCCCCCTGGCGGCGCTTCGGGCGACGCCCTCTGGTGCGCTCTTCGCGCGCCAGGGACGGGGAGGTCCCAGCGCCGATCCAAGCAATCCGCGCAGAGCTCCGATGGCTTAGATTTCTGCTGTTCTGTGTGTCCCTCAGGAGTTCTCGGGGGACCCCGAGCTGGTGGCCGCCTTCGAGCTTCCGAGGAGCGCGCCAAGCCTCGATCTCAGATCTTCGATCGCCGCATTTGGCGGCGGAAGCCGCACCATTCTTGCGGCCCGCTTAGTGGGGGGAAAACGAAAACCCAGAGCATATACGGAAACATAGGGGGAATCCTGGGATTTGTGTCTGTTTATTTGTGTGTCCCTGGGCCCCTTCACTCGTGACCGCCCGCGAGCGCCTGAGGAACGCGCCCTGCTCTTGGTCGTCTCCCAGCAGCTGTGCCTCGCCAAGAGCGCCCGCTCGGTGCAGCGTGCGGGCGCGGGCCGGCCTCACCATCGCCTCCGAGAGGGGGGTCCTTTGACCGTTGAGGTTGCCCCTCCTCCGCGATCGAGGTCCAGACCTCCTCCCCTTCTTCCCCTTCCTCCTCCTTCTCCTCCTCGTCCTCCTCCTCCTCCTCCTCCAAGCGGTCCGAGCTGCTTGCGCACAGGGCGCCGCTTGCCGCGCCGCCAGGAGGATAACCTGGTGGAGTCTCCCACTCGTCGGGCGAGGTGGGGCCTTCGGCGGGGGGATGCAATGTCTTCTCTCCGTTTCCTGGGCTTCAACCCGCTGTGGGCGAGCGGCGATCGTCTGAGTGAGATAATGGGCGAAACCAGAAATTTCGACGCAGTGGCTTTGGCAGGGACCAAGTGTGTGGATCATCCGCAGCAGGGTTTGCGAGTTCTTAGACAACGATGTGCAGGGCGTTTGGTTCTGGAATCGCCGTATTACAAGTCGCCGTATAGTAACCAGCTGCGGGTGTGCACTGGGATTTGGTAGTCATGTTCGAGAGCAGAATATTATGAGAACGTGGGTCAGTCCCCCTGAGGCCACAGGGAGAGCGCTGGCGGCCAGAGCAAAAAGTGGTCTGATATATACATGTCCGATGGTGGTGTATTTTCTTCCACGCCCGAGGTATCGCGCTCATCGGCCTCAGTATTTCGCTACAGTACGTCTCTTGGTGGCGTGGATTTCAATGGTGTTGCGCGAACTGCCACATAGGTGTACCCCGCTGCTATATTGTGATCTCAACGATGGTCTTGGTCAGTCTCGTGGATCCCATGGGTAGGAAGATATTGATTCATCGGTGGTAATAGATGTCCCCGCGCAGGAGCAGCTTCCTCGAGGTGCAGGACAACTTCTCAGATAATGTATGGAGTCCCACTACATGGTGGCGGGCAACACGGCTGGCCAGCTACAACATTTTTTTCGGTCCAGAGGGTGCATCGAGAGGGTGCTACCCGCTGAAAGGGCTGGGGGCAAAATTGCAGGCAGTTCGAGGACAATCCCCTCGGGATCATATACCAGTCATGTGTACGATGACTTATGATAAAGCGGGCTTGCTTGGAGGACCATATTCGGCTCGTGTGGGCTGGAATCGTGATCTCATAATGGCGTCATTGCAGAGTGGCAAGTGCAGGCGTGACTTTCTCACCGCGGCGTAGGAAGAGATCGACAAGTTACCTTTCGTATACTTGAAAGATCAAGCATCCCCAGATGAGCTGTTCGAACGGATGGAGGATGCGGTCACTACTGCTGGGTAGCGTCTTTTTTCTGTATCTAGTCGTACCAGTCCTGAATATAAGGAGAGTGCTGAGCGTCGTCGTCAACTACTGGCGGAGCGAGTTCGATTTCGTGGTTCAAAACTTGGCATGTCTGAAGCAGACGCACAGGAGGTGGATGATGAGCTCCGCGTTCTTTCCGCTGACTCTCTGCTGAGCGTCGGCGTGCTGCGCGATCCCTTCGCTCTCTGTTGATTGAAGGGGCATCGGGGCAGTGGCGCAGGAGGTATACTTCTGAAGCGCTCCCATTATCCAGGCGTGCAGCTCGTTGCAGAACCGGCCCGAAGAATAGAGATGAGCGCCTGGCGCAGGGGCCCCCTCCCAGTCGGGAGGAGTGGCCCCAAGTTTGGCAATCTCCTGGGGGTGAAGGAGGTATGGTGGTGGAGGAGGCGGACTGGGATGCTTGGCGGGCAGAGAGAGGGGGGGGGTCTACGACTGGGACGTAGCGGAGGAGGAACAGGAGCTTGCCCAGCAGGATTTGAAGTTGATAAGGTCTTACATCGAGAAGGCTCCGAAGAGGCGGGCTGTTCCAGATGGCAGTGCTCCTGTCGAACTTTGACATCAGCTACTATTCCCGAACTGGAGGGCGTCGCAGCAAAAAAGAGGGAGTAGGTTGTGGCGCGCCCATGCCCAAGGTTCCTGGGTTCTGGTGGATCCTCTCAGTGGGCCTCGCGAAGGTTCGACACTTCCAGGTGGCCCCGCTACGTCGGCATCGGAGTCGAGGGGCAGGGCTTCCAATAAGTGCTCAACACGGTCCCCGAGGGAGAAGAGTAGTACACGTGCTGCCTGTTCTGGGAAAAGCGTTCTATTCCAGCATGTTGAAGATTGTGCCCTCTCAACAAAATCATCGCTTCGTCGCCCACTGGAGGCTCGAGGCTGCTATTTTCATCGCCCAGGTGAATTGCCGGCGATTGTGCCGTCTTCGGCGATCTTTCGTGACGAGCCTCAAGGATGGGGCGAACGCCTTTGGGAGCTCGGACTGGTCCGAATTAGAGATCACCATCGCCCACTCCGCCTCGGAGGAGAACCGTGCCCTCTGTCAGCAACGTTACGAGAATAGCATGGTTGAGTTAATTGCGGAAGAGGGCTCCCTGTTGGTCAAGCCGTTCCAGGGCGGCGTCATGGGCCCCCCTTTTCACGGTGGCCGCGTTCCTAGGTACTTTTTCTTGGGCCACGCTTCAATGGGCTTATCAGTGGAGTCGATCGCACCCGATGTCCCGCTTCTGGGTGGCGAAATGGCAGGATTTCCAGAGTGACCTCAGTTCGTTGAAATATGCAGATGATGTAAACAAACCAGTCGTGGCCTCCGACGAGATGACCCTGGGGGGCTTATTCGGGGAGGTTCGTGAGATGGGCGAGGTTTACGATTCGGAGTTGCAGCCGTTCGGGTACGTTCAGAACTTAGGGAAGCACGAGTTTTTGACGTACTTCGCGTCCCTGGGAAATCGCGCTCGACAGATGGTTCGGACAGGTATCTCGGGCATCCATGGCAACATCAATGATAGTGTGCGGTACCTGGGGCCCCACGTTCGGGTGCGTGACTCTAGTCATCAGGAGGTCACTAGGAGATGTTCGGCAGCGCGGGCTGCATGCTACAGAGTCGGCGGCATCTGGTCGCTGGCGATCCCTTTTAAGCTGCGCAGGCTCTTGCTGGTGGGCAATGCGCAGAATGCCCTCTTCTCTGGCTTGGATGCGTTTGTGTTCAGCATGGCCGACTGCCGTCGCTTGGGCAGTTGCTTGGCCTCGCTGGCTCGAGTTGCGATGCTTGGTCGTGCCGCGCACAAGGAGGAAAATCACACGAGGTCCCTTTCCCATTCCCAGGTCCTTCTCTTTTGGCGACTCTTGGACAGCGAGTGTGGGATGGGAATTCGTCGATTGAAGTGGTGCCAGAGTTGGGCAGCGAGATCCGACCATCATATCCAGCCGTTGTGCGCGATGCTCGGGGACCTAGAGGGCGAGGCAGAGCGTGGTTTCCCACCGCAGTTGCTCGAGGGGGTTCCATCTGAGGCAGCGTCCCCGTGGCTGAGCCAGATGACGCGCGATCTCGAGTTTGCCGCAGGGGTCGTCGAAAGCGAGGCGATCGATTTGCTGCTTAATGACATGAACGCGTTCATACTTAAGGGGGAGATGGAGGATTCTTGTATGCAAGATATGGGAGTGCTCAGGGCTTCGAGGTCTCGGGTTCAGGTCCCGCCAACAGGTTTCCTATTGGCGTCTGAAAGGCTTGAGACCTCCAGCAGCTCCTGATGGGGATCCACAGCTTAGATGTAGAGCAAGTACGGAGACGGGATTGTGTGGGGCTGCTTTTCGCACACGTAAAGCATTAATGCATCGCTACAGGGCGCAGCACAATGTACGTAGTCTAGCGCATGTGAGCACGCCGGCAAGCATTTGTGTGCACAGCAGGCATATATTTTCGAGTAAGATCAGCTTCGAGGCATCTCTTGGGCTCAATTCGGAGGGGCAGTTGTTGTGCGACTGGGCCGTGGGCGCTGGGGGAGTTACTTCAGCCTCGATCATTGAAGTGTCCATTATGTGACTATGAAGCTGATGATCTCCCTGATTTATGTAACCATCTGGCTTCTGAGCATACTCCGTGGAAGTTGCCTCCATTCAGTGCCGAACGTACTGCGCGTCAGAGAGCAGCTCAAGATGGAGCTGGCGATGCCATCGTGGTTCAGCGGCAAGAAGCGCGAGGGCGACAATGCAGAACCGCCCAGCGCTGGAGCAGCAGGCAGCGCGACGGGAGGCCGCGCGAAGACGGCCAAGAAGGACGGCGGCAAGGGCGGCAAGGACATGGCGAAGGTCGTGGCTCAGGTCGTGCGCCTGCTGCTCACCGCGACGCGCGAGCTCGGGGGCGTGGCGAGCGCCGTGTTCCTCAGGTTGGACATCGCCCTCGATCGAGGGCCTCCAGCGTGCCTGGCGGTGTCAGGCAAGAAGTGCGACGACCAGAGCAAAGACATGAGGGCCAAGCAGGCCGAGGGGGTGGAGCAGGGCTTCAAAGCGAGGGGTCCGCCACACATGCGCATATTCGTGTCGGCGATGCAGTTTTGCGCCACGCGAACTCCTACAGCGGGGTCTACGGAGGAGGCCGAGAAGACACTCAAGCAGGACAGCAAGGAATGGTGGGCACAGTGCGTGAGGGAGGAGACGCCGCTGAAGGAGATTGGGAGGGCAGTGCCGTACTTCAGGTGCAGGCCTCTGCGCAAGGAGAACAGGTGTATCATCATGATGAGGACGGACTTCACCAAACCAATGGGAGTGGAAGCGCCTCGAATCTTGGAGGCGGTGATCGAGGCCGAGGGCGGAGAGTTCCTGCTGGGTTCAGCTCCGAGGGGCCCATCGAGCGGGCGCTTATGGCCTGGGTGAACAAGTCCGGCGGGGCTTGAGTACGAGCTCGCGGCTGCAAGAGTTGATTTCTAGAGGATTGGTGGCGCCAGATGTGC